CCGCAATTAACATGGGATCAGAACATAGCGGATATACTAAGAGAAAGAGGACTAGGGAAAATGGAAGTAGCTAAAATGGCACTACATAAGAAAAGATGGAGGAAATTCGTATACGAGTTGTAAATATTATTCAAAATTAGAAAAAAATATATCAATTATAATCTACTGCAGATAAGGAAACTTTTTTATTTTAACTTTGTCTTTTGCGTTTTTAATAATTTCCTCTGTCCTTTGCGTTTTTAATAATTCCCTGTGTCATTTGCGTTTTTAATAATTTCCTCTGTCTTTTGCGTTTTTAATAATTTCCTCTTACTTTTGCGTTTTTAATAATTTCCTCTGTCTTTTACGTTTTTAATAATTTCCTCTTACTTTTGCGTTTTTAATAATTTCCTCTGTCTTTTGCGTTTTTAATAATTTCCTCAGTCTTTTGCGTTTTTAATAATTTCCTCTGTCTTTTGCGTTTTTAATAATTTCCTCTGTCTTTCGCGTTTTTAATAATTTCCTCTGTCTTTTGCGTTTTTAATAATTTCCTCTGTCTTTTGCGTTTTTAATAATTTCCTCTGTCTTTTGCGTTTTTAATAATTTCCTCTGTCTTTTGCGTTTTTAATAATTTCCTCTGTCCTTTGCGTTTTTAATAATTTCCTCTGTCCGTTGCGTTTTTAATAATTTCCTCTGTCTTTTGCGTTTTTAATAATTTCCTCTGTCTTTTGCGTTTTTAATAATTTCCTCTGTCTTTTGCGTTTTTAATAATTTCCTCTGTCCTTTGCGTTTTTAATAATTCCCTGTGTCATTTGCGTTTTTAATAATTTCCTCTGTCTTTTGCGTTTTTAATAATTTCCTCTTACTTTTGCGTTTTTAATAATTTCCTCTGTCTTTTGCGTTTTTAATAATTTCCTCAGTCTTTTGCGTTTTTAATAATTTCCTCTGTCTTTTGCGTTTTTAATAATTTCCTCTGTCCTTTGCGTTTTTAATAATTTCCTCTGTCTTTTGCGTTTTTAATAATTTCCTCTGTCTTTTGCGTTTTTAATAATTTCCTCTGTCCTTTGCGTTTTTAATAATTCCCTGTGTCATTTGCGTTTTTAATAATTTCCTCTGTCTTTTGCGTTTTTAATAATTTCCTCTTACTTTTGCGTTTTTAATAATTTCCTCTGTCTTTTGCGTTTTTAATAATTTCCTGTGTCCTTTGCGTGTTTAATAATTTCCTCTGTCCTTTGCGTTTTTAATAATTTCCTCTGTCTTTTGCGTTTTTAATAATTTCCTCTGTCTTTTGCGTTTTTAATAATTTCCTCTGTCTTTTGCGTTTTTAATAATTTCCTCTGTCTTTTGCGTTTTTAATAATTTCCTCTGTCTTTTGCGTTTTTAATAATTTCCTCTGTCTTTTGCGTTTTTAATAATTTCCTCTGTCTTTTGCGTTTTTAATAATTTCCTCTGTCTTTTGCGTTTTTAATAATTTCCTCTGTCCTTTGCGTTTTTAATAATTTCCTCTGTCTTTTGCGTTTTTAATAATTTCCTCTGTCTTTTGCGTTTTTAATGATATCCTCTGTCCTTTGCGTTTTTAATAATTTCCTCTGTCTTTTGCGTTTTTAATAATTTCCTCTGTCTTTTGCGTTTTTAATAATTTCCTCTGTCTTTTGCGTTTTTAATAATTTCCTCTGTCTTTTGCGTTTTTAATAATTTCCTCTGTCTTTTGCGTTTTTAATAATTTCCTCTGTCTTTTGCGTTTTTAATAATTTCCTCTGTCCTTTGCGTTTTTAATAATTTCCTCTGTCTTTTGCGTTTTTAATAATTTCCTCTGTCTTTTGCGTTTTTAATGATTTCCTCTGTCCTTTGCGTTTTTAATAATTTTCTCTGTCTTTTGCGTTTTTAATAATTTCCTGTGTCCTTTGCGTTTTTAATAATTTCCTCTGTCTTTTGCGTTTTTAATAATTTCCTCTGTCTTTTGCGTTTTTAATGATTTCCTCTGTCCTTTGCGTTTTTAATAATTTTCTCTGTCTTTTGCGTTTTTAATAATTTCCTCTGTCTTTTGCGTTTTTAATAATTTCCTCTGTCCTTTGCGTTTTTAAGTAGTCAAAGTTGTTTTCATAGTTCAAAGCAAACGCATTAGTGGCTAGCGAGTGCATAAACTACATCTTCCAGGTTCTGCATTGCCTCCTCAATGCTTATTGAAGCGCCAGTTTTTATTCTGGTGTACCAACTGTGATGTGTTTTGATCCTTCTTCAACTTGCATTTAGTGAAGTATTTTGCATGGCAGAGAGCATTGATCTGATCTTGAATATGCGGCAGCGGGTATTTTTCTCTGACGACTCTTTTGTTGATATCACGTATGTCCACGGACATTAAAACTACACCATTTTTTTTTATACTAGAACTATCGGGCTTGCATATTCTGAGCGACTTTCACGAATTATACCAGCCTTTAGAAGGTCATTAACTTGAAGATACGCCAATGGATTAGTGTCCTTTAAGTTTATTGTCATTTCACCAGTCATAATCTGGTCGGGAGTTTTATTTTTGTAAAACAATAAAAGACTTGCTATTCGTAGAGTCAGGTTGATTAATCACAACCCTAACCACACTTTTTAAAGTCATTACGTTCGAAATATTGAGCAGGTTATGGTGCAGTTCGAGCCCAAAATTGTTTTTTTTTCGATTTTTAAACAAGCTCGACTGATGACACCCCATCCAATAATTAGATGGGTGTTCCCTGGCGTAATAATATCTGGTACGACCGCATGAGTAATATCCAAATTCAACGTCGGCATGACAGTGATTAAATTACAAACACCAATAGCATAAACAATTTGGGTCCCAAATCTCGAGAAAGCACGGGCCCTATCGTCTGTTTTGATTATCGCATCGAGAGCGCACTATTTTCGAACAATAACGTTGCCGTTGGTCTTGCGTTGAAATGGCGTTATTATTATTTTTTTTTAATAAAAATGTCAATCACTTGCACAATGATTACAAGTTGGAACTTTGGATGAACCTGGAGCCTCTTCTCGAACTACGTTTAGTGCCTCGTGTTTATTGTGACAAGTATCACGATGGTGTCCTTGGCGGCCACATTTAAAACATGACCCTTTTAAAATCTTCTTGGATTTTTCATGACTTATATCTCGTTTTTCCCCGAAACGGAATTTCCTTCGAGGCATGTCATCGATTTCCAAAACACGTTTTCATTTTTCAAAGCCTGCCTGCTTTAGCGATCATTAAATTATCGCCGACGTTTAATTCATCGTTTAATTTCGTAGCGTCTTAACTACTCAGTTTAAGTTGAATGTTGATGTCGACGCTGGCGCCAACTGCTACGGCAAGGTAGGGTGTTGGCATTTCCTGTGAATGTGACGATGACATCACCGCCATCTTTGTTTGATTCGCCAACTCAGCACTAGGTGACACATTATCTCCGTTCGAATCTGTTGTAAGATTCAGCGCGGCACCGTTTGTGCAATTGTCTGCCGCCATTTTCACACTAATTCGTATTGTTTTTGCAACTATCCCACTTCTGATGTTAACTTGAGAGATGGCGTAAGGGTTTTAACAAATTCAGCAACTATGGTGCTATTATATATTATAATGGTGATATAATAAATATATTATATATTTTTATAATATATTTTTAACAAGTTGTCAGTGTCTGTGGAATAATTAATGAGTTTTTTTTTTAAATAAAATGATTCTTCTTGTTTGATCGTTGTCAGTGGCCATTAATCTCACCCCACCATGAAGAAATTTGCCATGCGCGGACAGGCATAGATGTGTTATGAGTCTTCGTATTGCCACTGTTGTTATTGGACGTGTGTATCAAGTCGCAAGTCATTTCAATCTCCGTTTTTTCTACTGTAAGTCCGGTGTGTGTCATTATAACAAGTGGTAAGTACCTACTGTTTCATTATAGTTTCATATTTTCATAACGATAAAATAAAAAATACCACAGGTTTGAATACTGAGAATATTAAATATTTTCAAAATATCGAGGACTTTGCTATGCGTTGAATCATCCGATATGCGATTTCACATTAAATAAAGCATCACCATTCTGACTAAGTCACTAAATTTAGAATACAATATTTCGTTGGAATTATGAACCTTCAATTATATTCTACAAATTTTAATTTGACCTTTTGATCTTAAGTTTTGACTTATTTTGGGTATTAAGGGTTCTGATGTAAAAAAAAAACAAGATTGATTTACCATTTTTATGAGTTTAGCAATAATGATCTACAAAATTTATTGTGGTTTCTTTATAGGATGCTGCTATATTAACGTTTGATGTCAACGAAACATTTACTTTTACTTAGTTTGCCAATTAAAGTTAAATTTTGTGATGCTTTAAATAAACGATTTGGCGTAAATAAATTCTATGCACGTGTCGTTGGACGGATTTATTTTAAAGAATCCGTTTTTAGCTCCGTGTTACTACTCAACAGTTCACAAAAATCTTCTATCAAAGACCCGGACCACACAATAGCGTTCAGTGCTACGTCCGTCCAAAGTTTACCTTACAGGACACTCAAATCGGGATTTTTAGTTGTGCTCTAGCTTTTAGAGTTGTAGTACGTGTGCGGCACAGTGAAAAAAATGTCTGTGGTCGAAGCGCTTGTTGTTAATTAAAATCATAATGGGGTTATGAGGTATAAATATAGAATGTTTAATTAGAGCGGTGGAGTTTTAATTTTGATTTATTGCATTTTTATGTTTATAAATCCTTTTAATATAAGCAGATTGTCAGTTTTTCCAATTAATGTTATAAATTGCATTTCTTTATGTAGAATATGTCTCTGAAGATGCCCTACCGTTTTTGGCTAAAACGTACGTAATATTTACTAAATAAAAAAGATTCGTATGGACGAATACCCAAGAAAATTTTATTTCGTTTGATTGTATTCTCGCACACTTATAAAACTGAGTGCTCAACTCTTGGGGAAAGTGTAATTTCTCACTGCTTATCCGCACTGGTGGGGAAATATATTCGGTAATAGTGGATAAATCGACTTACGTTCCCAAGGACAGCCGTAGAGTTCTACTCGCATGCAAACGGTGCGAGGATGCTCGCTGTAGGGGATGAATCTGACTTTAGACGCCACGAACGGCAACTCCAGCCTCTGTCTCACCACCAAGTAGGTGTTGCTGTTACCCGTCAACACCTGTTAAACATCAAAAGTCCGATTTAAATGTGTGTAAATAACTGGTGACGCTTTTGTTGATATGTTGGCGGTTGGTATATTAACGGAAAAAGAGATTTTTCCAAACAACACGATTTTAGAATACAAAAAGAGTTTTATTATTTTAATTGAATCGGTTATTTAGAAAGGACATATTTGGTATTTCAGTTTTTCCATTCGCATGCAAAAAAACTCAAATTTTTGTTATCTTTTCCAGTTTTTTTTTCATTTCTTTGTTTTTTGGTTATTTTTTTTCCTGATTGCCGACTTTTCTTTGTATTTTTTTTTCGAAAAAATTAAAATCAATTTTTGTGTTTTCTAATTGTTTAATTATTAAAGAAAGCTAAAAAAAAGTTAATAGACAAAAAAGTTTTATTTCTAGTTGTTTAATTAGCACATATTAGGAATCAACAATTTTACAATCCCCAGCACAGACAGAAGAGGCAAGAATGGATAACGGCCGATATTCTGATACTAATACAGAGCCATCCAAAATTAAATGTCAGGAAAATTATTATTTTATCAATCGTCACAAAAAAAAATAAAAGAAACACCAGTAATGATCAGAAAACGTCCAAACGGCAATTTAATCAGAGACGATAATAAAAAAATATCTTAAAAGAGCAAATCGTGCAACCAATACCTAAGTCAAAAAACGGTAAGGCCGCATTGCATCTATGTTGATAATTTCAAACTTGCTGAGGATAAGGTCGCCAGGGTGATTTGTTCAACACCATTTGGGACTGGTTGAAGTCCACTTTTGTTACTCTACCAAATCCTATAAGCTTTCTGAGCCATGCACTAAGATTATTCACAACAGGACATACGAAAAGTGTGACGAAACTGTGTCAGACACACACTTTGGCTGGAAAAATGGCCTTGGAAGAAAAGATGATTTCTTTAGCATGCAAGTACTAGTTCAAAGACAAAGTGATACTAAACCTTCAAAACATCGGGCTAGGTCAGTGTGACATAAGAATTATAGCTAATTTATACTGTTCAGGAGGAGCTTTCTCGATAACTGTTTAATATCTACTTTGATGCTATTTATGTAAATGGTATACCAATAGAAAACATCCACTATTTATATAATACAATAATATTGAGCAGTTTCTCTGAAGATCTGCAATGGTTGCTGATCAAAAATAACCAAGCTCGTAATGCCAATAGACTAACACTAATTTTAAAGAAGAACAAATTTATTATTGTTAGCAAGCAATATTTTAAGTGTACAATTGTCAATTGGGCAAGAATTAATAGAAATAATTGATACTATGATTACCTCGGATGTTGCCTGAACACTGAATGGAATATTTTTTGCTTCGTGTGCGTAGAATGAATCTATGTTACATATTTCCCATCTTGTTTTATAGATTAGAGGGACGGACATTGATAGACCGGTATTGCTTTTGAAATGTACGCAATGCTGATGTCTTTTTACGTCTAAATAAAACGACCGAGATCTTAAATACAGTATAGCGACCAAAACCGACCAAAACCAAATCTGGAGTACTTCGGACATGTTATGAGGGGCGAGAAGTACTGCTGTCCTCAACTAATAATACGGGGAAAAGCTGAAGTCAGATAGCCAGAACGAACACCTTCAATAGAAGATTTCACCAGAAGAAGAAAAATGTTTGAGAAAAGTCAGTGACGTACGGCCCTGTGACGTCACTAGATCTAATAATTATCATGTACAATATCGGCAATAGAATCTTTAATATATTAATATATATAATAAATAATATATATTTAATATATTAATGAAGAATCTCAACCAACACTCTGTGTAAAGGACTTTTAACCCTCAAAACATAAACATTATGAATTTTCGACCTTTGTTTTCCCCGAAGCGGCAATATTATTTGAGGGTAGTTCCCAGTGATGTAAATATTTTGTCAATTTGTGGCGAACTAAGCAACTAAACTCGAGCCTCGCGGACAAAAGGCAAAGCGCGTCATTTTTTTTTCATGTTTCGCAAATTAGAGAAATAATTTATCGGATACTCGTCAAAAGGGTTCAGTTGCAGCGCAGCACTAATTTAATTACGTGCCTACCTTTAATTCGCGAACTTAAACATTAAAAACTTAAAAAACTTCCGAGTCGGCATTGTAGTATCCGCGCAAAACTTCGGGAAAAATTAAATTTCGACGGAGATGCGTCGCCCGGGTTTAATCGGATTACGAGGATTTTTACGTCATTCGTGAGGGGGAACGTAGCGCGCGGGGGACGGGAGTGGGCTGCTGATTGAATATTTATTAAAGAAAAAACCATTTACCAACCATAAAGCGAGCTAGGAAAAGCTGACCATAGGGTTTACCAGATATAAGACATAAAAGTGATTATTTGGCTTATAAAATATCCCGTTCCAGACAAGGGTGTCACTAACTATAAAAATAATTTATATATTAATAAAATCACTAGTAATCTCTAAAGAACCAATTAGAATAAATACTTAAGAATCAAAACAAAATCCCGCATATATAAATCTGTAGGTCGACCATTCATTACATATAGATAGAATGTCTGAACAACGGAGTATAGTGAAGATAGCAAGAGATAAATCGCCTGCCGGTCGGAAACTATCAGTTTTCCCTGTAATATTAATATATATTAATATAGAAGCTCGCCTCCTCAAACAATATACAAGCAGGTACGGAGTAAAATGCGAGAAATAAGTATCTGAATAAATACAGAGTGATATTTTTTACAAGGTCGTGCCTTTTATTCTCAAAATTTTTTACTTGCTTCTTTAAAAATTTATTGCCCTCTTGGCATTTTTTATATATACGACTGTTATTGAGAACAAAAATACAAACCACTAGATATATGCCCCAAACTGCAGACGAAGCCCAAAGCTAAGCGAAGATCGCTGACACCGCTTCGAAAGCCCTATTTATTCGATGGCAATAGTGTAAAATACGCTCTTAAATATTCCAGCCTTTGCATAGGCCAGTTAAAAACAAATTCTGAAAAAAACCTCTGGTTAATTCGGAAAAAAGAGAAACGACAAAAATATCAGTGGCGTGCATTTTTAGTTAACACCATTCTTTTAGCATCCTGTATTTCAGAAAAAATGCAAGTCCGGACATAGGTTCATAGAAACCGTTTTCTCAAAACATGCACATGATGATGCAAAAGTTGTACGCATAGTGTGCCTCAAGGTATATCGACATGATTTTTAAAACAAATGGTAATGGAATTACTTAGATTAATAAATTAAGATTAAATTACTTCAGGAAATTAAAAACTATAAATATCAAAACAGATATATAAGATACCTACATGAAACTTGTTTTTATACACACCATGCAATATCCAACCGATTGATTGATTCCAGATCTATTTAGAAAATTATTTATAATATACTTTAATAAACATAATATATTTAATCTTTATGTTTCTAAAGCCCCCTTAAACTCTGTCCGTTATAGCTTGGCCAACAGTAACAGGTGTTAGACATCCTGCAAGTTATTTCGAAAATTTGCGTTAGCCATACTTTGAGACAGACTATACCAGTATTGCTACTCTCCTTCACTTTTATTTATACGTACATATATATTTTTTTAAATTGAAGTGCAATTTTTTCAAAAAACTACAGTTTCGAGAATCTAATTAATTAAGTTATTGCAACTTGTGACTTGAATGCAATTTAAAAATTTAATGTCGTGCCAAAATATTAAACTTAGCATTTTTCGCTATTGTCCGATGGTTATTTTTTTATAAAAGAAAGTAGAATGCTCATAATATAATTTTTCAACCATTTAATCGCCACTTTAGTATACCAAAACAATTAAAACTAAATAAAAGCGTAATTATTTGACATCTTGGATGCTGCTTTAGTCACGAGTTTGTTTTGCCACAAGTGTTTAATAAAACGTTTCACACGTTGCCGATTAATAGACTAAGCTTTAATACGTTTTATGAGTGACCTATGACGGGATTATCAAAGCATCCAATCTCCCCCGAACCCGTGACTAAAGTGCCGGAAACGTCTGAAGTGGCTCGAGGAATTTGTAAATAAATATTTAACAATGAAATAGCGTCTAAGATCTTGATTTTCATACAGATTCCTGAGTGAAGACGCTCCTGAACTGTTCAAGGCATAAAACTACAGTCCTATAAATATTTAATTGCATTATTCACCTTTGGAGCCAATACAAAGCAGGAACCTACTTCTGCGGATTGAGATTACGAATTTTTATAACACCATTTATTTAGTAGTAACTTTATCAAGACTGATAAATATTTATGCATCCTAAAAAATTTATTATTTTAAATTCTTCCGAGACTGGTTGGTTATCCTTTGCTCTCTCTATTAATGAAATTTTATCTCGGACGGGATATTATTTAAGTTGCCGAGTAATAACTATTAATGGCGAAAGCCGGGAAAAGTGCAGATACATTAGTTAAGGGGGACGTTAAGTTACTTAAAAGTTTAGTCGCCAAATAAATTCTGTTTTATGGTTAGAACTTCGCAGATCGTGCATGTGTGCCTGTATATACTGTAGATCCGGGCAAATGTAAATGTGTTTTATGGAAGGAATTTTGATTTCGGGGTTAAGCAAGCCGAGTTTAGACCGTGAGTTACACGAACTATAACGAACTTATTATAATTTACGTAGGGATGCGGAGTTGTAAATCTTTCCAAATCTCTTTCGCCGTTACGTATTGTCTTTGATATTTGCCATGGACTGAACGGCATATTCAGGATATGAATAAAATTGCTTTTAATCTGTTTACACTCTCGGAATGAAACACGATGAAACGCAAATATGATGAAACGAATTTTCGTAATCAGTAACAGCCACCCATCGTTCGGTATTGTTTGCGCTTTGCGAAATCCATAATGAAGGTCCTTTTTTTAACAGCGAACTCTTGGTTGTTTCAGTTGCACATCACTAGGCGATTTAGAAAATCGAAAAACAAAAATGAATGGCTCTGATTCACCCTTGCTCATAAGATTATCCATACGTCAGCTC